ACTCTTTCCATTTTGTTTAATTTCGTCATTAGTGGGTTACTGAGGTGAACAATGGAAGGTCCTCAAAAACCCAGCGTTTCGATCTGTCCGAGCGGGAACCTTATCAACCCGTAATATCCAGACGACATTGTTCTCATTTTTGGAAAGAAGAAGGTAGCGCAAGCATTGCTTGAAAATCCGACTGAGGCCGTCCAGTTCTTCAGTAGTTGCTTCGCGGACGAAGTCAGTGCATAAATCTCAAAGTGTATGATCACTCGTCAATTCGCGTCACTGGCGGCATAAAAAAGACATTCCACTGGGTTTCAAAGGAAGCGTATATCAGAATACAACGCGGGCTCTATTGGATGGCTACCAGACTTGGCAATTTCTGGAGGCAAATATAAGGTATCTTTGAACACTGATTCGGTTGGAACGAGCGAGTTTGCTATGAAGTAATCAGGAAACTGGCTTTTGATGAAGTAGAGTGTACTTCCCTCAGAATGTATCCGACGCTGCGAGACAAATTATTCGGGCCGTGTTACGCACACCAAGTTACTGCCTGCCGAGACAAGTACCTGATGCGGAAACCTAAAGGTGGACAGGATCCGACATAGGAGAAGCGAATGAAGAATATTATTCAAGGTCGGTACTGTTCGCCTTTCACAATAAGGTCCAAATAACCCTTGTTGTGATTATCTGAAGGCACTGGACGATAGACGTTTAACTAGTGCGAGTAGCTATCAAGCTGACAGCTTCCATTCAGACTATCTGACAGTGTTGGGGCTGTAGGCGAATGTTTGTTTTAGGCTAGCCTCAGGCCTCTCTCCATGCTCCAGTTATTCTTCCTACCATCATAAGGCTTTATTCGTTCAGCTATGGAACCCTTTCGGTGCCCAACTGCCCGTCCACCATAAGGAAGCACGAGGAATGGAATACTGCCAGGTTGCCCAAGCCTATACAGGGGAATCTGAGAGACAAGGGCCGGGTTCGAACCACGGACCTCCCGGTTAGTGAATTCGCGCCCTAACCACTGGGCTATCTCGCATTTACTCAGAGTGATAGTGAAGTATCTGTGTTATTATCTGGTGTTGCTGTCGCTGATGATGATGATGATGATGCAGCGAAATGAAACACTGTGAGTCTCAAACGAGACCAGCTAACTCATCATCGACAGCATGACATCAGGATCAGCTAACTGCGTCAAGTCCACTGTGGCAAGGTCCGCTGATATTCGGCCAAGCGATAGCGAGTGTTCTTTGAACATGCATACCCGGAGAACTGAAACAACGCCCAGCGGTTAGGCCGTCTGCGGGCGAGACACACGGGAGACACGATCCACAAGCCTGCGCCGTGAAACATTCATAGTCGCATCTACAACTGGTGACACTGAAAATGAAGGAAGTGTTTGCTATCATCGAACACTCAAGAAGATTTGGTTTCATTTAGCTCTAGGCGAACGAGCGTAGAGATTGATGGTTTACGAATTACGCAGTTGCAATGATAACGAGACGTTCGTTTAATACAGATATCAACTAGGCACTGCAAGAGAGTGAAAGGCACGTTTTGAATAGTGATCAAATATCGATGAGCTGACGGTAGACAACATGGATTCCTCCGGAATTATTTTCTCGTAAGATTCCCCATGATTCAGTCCAGGATCTTGTTGACAGAAGCATTGAGACGGACGTTGGTTTTACCCCGGTACACATGACAAGGCTGTACATCGCATGCCTTCTTGCTAAAAACTGAATTCATAATACTGAGTTCGAGATAGCCCCAATGACCGGAAGGTTTGTGGTTCGAAACCAAACTCAGCATCGCGACTGCTCTTGTCTAGGCTATGATGACCTGGCAGTATCTCAGCCCCCGAGCACCAATGGACAACCGACCTAGATCCTGGAAGAATTACGAAGTGCACAATAGTGCACCGAATGCGTAGAGTAGGCCATAAAACCTGGGACTTCTATGTTCACTTGGCGCTATAGAGAAGAACTCTGGTGTTAAATGAATGTCCTGTAAACATTAATCAGGATGGAGACGACTGGTTACTTTGAGGAAATGAGTTGAAGGCACGTGCATCGGCATAGGAACCGTTTTGCCATGAGCCAGGTTGCATCACACAAATTAATGCCATCACTCAACAAGTTTCAAGGATAAATTACTTAATCGGTTCACCCTGTGGTTTTAGAGTGGTCTACCGAATCATTATAGTTATAAAACCCACCATTGTCGCTTTCTTCAGGGTTGGAACATCGCCATCGAAAACAAAAACTGGACGGATTCCAAAGTAGATGAGTTTGCACAATCGTCGGAAAAGAACTGTCAGGTATGCCTTCGGGCCACCTGTTGATGCCCTTGATTTAACTGCCTGATGTAACCAAATATTCATATCTAAAGTGGAATGATCAAATGGTAAGTAAGACCAAACACAAATTCACATCACACTCACCAATGGCAATTGTCTTTCCAGCAAGTTGCTCAAGTTCAACAGGTCGCCTGGCAGGTTCTAAGAGCTCCCAGAGTCCCGGAACACCCATTGCACCCCTGTAGAGATAACCTCCGCTACCAAGGTCTGCTGATTAGCACGGATTAGGTTTTGTCATCAAAAACACGAAGGGTATCACAAGGAGCTGAAAAACACGACGATAAAACAATGTTCACCTGGTAGTCTGTCTGATAATTCATAAGAAGATCAGTGGATTGGAGGTGGTAGGGAACTTGCTTAGTTCCGTCACGTCTGTCCTACCACCAGTGAACCACACAGATGACATCAAGAGAATTGACTGGCTAGCTGAACAACCGTCCGTTCACCGGGTGACTGAGTGCCCCAGTTGTTTTCATTTTGACACCTTCAAACCATGAACTACGAGTAAACCGATGTGCTATTTTTCGCCCAAGATGGCCCAAGAGATGGCCCAAGTAGGTAGAGCACGAATTTACTGACTGGAAGGTCCGTGGTTCGAACCCGACCCCCGACTCTCGACTTCCCCTATCTAGGCTTGGGCAACCTGGCAGTATCCCAGCCCTCGTGCAACCTTCGGGTGGCATGGCAGTTAGGCACCGAAAGGGTGCTACAGCTGAACAATTTCTTTCTATTTTTCGCCTGTGGAAAAACGGAGGACGATGGGATATAGCCAAGTAGTGGAGATAACGGTGCAATCAATTAGTTGATATTGAATCACTTGAGATGTTCGAGCTGGGAAGCCACGCGTTGAAGGTGGAACCATGTCTGCCAATGTCGGTACCAATTGATTAGCCGGGTCTCGTCCTCCAGAAAGGACGCAATTGACAACCCACCTCATTCTACTGGTTACTACATACGAACTTTGATTCCAGGTCACAGAATCTTAAACTGCCGTTCGCTTCCACTCAGCACACCGCTGAAAAAAGAGCTCTCAGAGAAAGACCGTCTTTTGGTATACGAAGCACGTTATAACCAGCGCGACCTATGCAGCATCAGTAGCTTGTCTATCCAAAACCACCATACCTACCTCAGCATTGCTAATCCAAACTTCTCACGAGACACGGCCAATGCTTTGGGAACATCAATAACAGCGCGTAGGAACCCGGTTTCCCATTCAAAAGTCACTATAGGTATAAGCGACCCACAATTCTAGTATTCCTGGATTTCCGAGGCGCATTCGACTCGGTTGATCGTTCTGTTCTTCTTGAGACGCTTGCCCACCAAGGAATGCCCCGGAAGTTTGTAAACAATACGTTCTTTGTATTCTCAGACTTCCGGACGTGTGACAGTGTACGCAGAGCTCTCCAAAAGCTTCTGCACACAAAGCGGTGTCCGTCAGGGCAAGCTTACACGAGTAGCGGCTGAGACAGAGGTAGGATTTCAATCAAGCACAATTCGGTAATCGACTTGACTACTGAGCTACCTCGAATTCCAAGACAGCTACCTTGGTAAATAGATTTATTTGGTACGCCGATCGAGTAGTCTGAGAGAATGGGATTAGTATGAAAGTTTAATAAAAATGACACACAACGAGAGTGAAATGAGAAGCTCTAATCGTACTAACATAATCAGGAACATTCCACCAAACTTGTCAATCATGAAACATGACTCCTGACCGTAAACCGATTGATACATCCCCGTCATTACGACGCTTTTCCTAATCGCTTTGATTGTTCCACAGGTCTTTACAGGGCTTGGCTGTAAAACTGTGGAGAGTTTCATAATTTTGCCGTCTTTATGAAGCAGTCCGTAAAGCCGAAGACGTTTCCACATACCTACATACCTACCTAAAGCTGCCACCATGGCATGGTGGCCAGGCTTGAATGCTACAATGATCCCGCAGGTTACATTGGCTGGAATGTCGTTTCACAAAGTGCATGCCAGGAAGGCCAAAAGCGACAGGCTTCAAGTGGACCACAAGTTTGACGGAAACGCAGAGACTGAGCCCATGTGATGACCCGTAGGGACCCTCGGGGACTGCACCTACCTGATGAGCCTTAAGAAGGGCGAAACCAGTTGTGGGCTGTCGAAGAGTTCTCAGCAAACTTGCGAGTAGTTTCCTTCATGAAAATGCACCCTTCTAAATCCACGAAATCCTCTCAATATGGTAGCTCTTAAAGTCCGTACTCCATGTCAAATTGGAAAAACGGGCAATGCTCGCTGAAACCTTAAACTCCCTTGAAATTGATGTATGCTTCGTCTCTGAAACAAGCATACAAGATCCGAGCGTGGTATTGCGTCTCAGAACGCCAAAGATGAAATCAGCTATTTCACATTTCTCCTTCCAGGTGTTCGCTGACTCAGAAGTGACAACCCGTGGCATATACGGTGTGGAAGTTGCACTCAGCCCCAGAGCTGAACACGCTTTGCTGGTGAACAGTCAGGTCTGCGACGTCCGGTTATCCAGTTCAATCAAGCTACCCTCGGCATAAAAAGCGGTGCCTGTTTGTCGTGTCGGCTTATGCCCCAACGGGCTGTGGTTCTGATGCTTAAGAAACTTTCTATCGAGGGCTACCTGGGCTCATTCGTCAAGCAAAAAGCACTGAAATTGTTATCCTTGCAGGCGATTTGAATGCTCACGTCAGTCATCTGAGATTCTTGGAATCATATTTGGGCGGTCGATTCGGAGTCGATGCTCACTGCACAGACAACGGAGATCGAATCCTCCAGTAGTATGCCGATCATGAACTGTTGCTGGCAAGTACAAACTTCGATGCTCACGCACAGACAACGGAGATCGAATCCTCCAGTAGTATGCCGATCATGAACTGTTGCTGGCAAGTACAAACTTTCAAAATACACGTTCACATCGCGTAACCTGGCGGTCACCAACCGTAAGTCAACCGTGGACCCAGTTGGAACACGTGACCATCAGCTACCGGTGGAGAACCATAATTCAAGACTGCGGTTCCTTGTGGGGCACACCACTTGATTTCGATCACACCATGGTGCGTGAACGCTTGGCAGTTCGCTTCCCCTCAGGCCCTCGAAAATCAGCAAGAAGCATGCCTATCCACTATCTTCGAAGAACGACGATAGCTCAACAGTACCGATCTGAGCCAGCCCAACAACTCTCCACAGTAAACCAATGCTGTGGTGGCAGTGAGCATGTGGACGAAGCGTGGGAAAATGTAAAAAGATCTACGTTGCCGCTTTTGGTGCTTTCTAACTTCCCCACTTCGACCACAGGACCACTGGGTGTCGTCGAGATCGCTATCTATGATTGATGCCAGCAAAGCTAACTAGCAGGCACCGAGTACGACGGCAAATGCAAATCCCTCAAACGCCAAATAGTGAAGAGTCTAAAGAAAAACCGTGGGCTCTGGTGGACATCGGAAGTTCGGGGGATGGAAAAGGCTTTCGCTACAGGAAACAACTATGCTCTATATCAACTGATACGATTGACTGGCTCTAGAAAAACAACGGTCAGTGAAACGATAAGTGAAAAAATGGCTCACTACTTCACTCGCAAAATCGTCAACTGGAAAGATGGGCCAGGTACTTCGAAGAAGTGCAGCTGGCCTCCTCCTCGTCATCATCATCAACAGCATGACATCAGTGTTCAACACCGACGCTTCACTGCTGGCCTCCTGCAACACAGCATAATAGTGCATACGGGCGAATGGAATGTTAGCCTAAATCGTCTCTCAGAAGTAATAAAGAACGAAATGTCCGTACTGAACGGTGAAAAAGCAACATGACCGGACGGTCTGTATCCAGCTCTCTTCAAAGAGAGTGGAGGATCCCTGGTGGCCCATCAGACAAGGCTTATACGTGCTGTATGGAAAAATAAGGCTATCGGGACGATCCGGTTGTGTGCAGATTTCTCAACCGGCCTAAATGCTGTACTGGATACCCACCAAAGCCCTCTGCGTCTTCCAGACGATTTATTCGAGAAACTGAATAGGGGTAAATGTTTCGCGAAGATTGACTTGGCAGGCGAAGTTGAGTAAGACTCCCGAAGACTTCTGACGAGCAATACGCACCACGGTCTGTTCCAGTACACTCGACTGCCATTCAGTGTCAAAACATCGCTAGCCATATTTCAACAGGCCAGCAATACGCCCACGGTCTGTTCCAGTACACTCGACTGCCATTCAGTGTCAAAACATCGCTAGCCATATTTCAACAGGCCAAAGATACGATGCTGGAGGATTCCCCGGAAGTTGCTGTCTATTAAGACGATCACATTTTCATGGATTCCAACCCGCATGAATTGTGGCAGAGCCTTGCTTATGCGCTTGGTCGTATTCAAAAACATGGCTTCCGAGAAGAATGCGCCTTCTTCATGCGATCGATAAGATACCTTGGTTTCATCAATGACCAACACGGCCACCGACCAGACCCGGAGAACAACGTTATCAGACGTATGCCAGCACACACAGACGTGACATCCCTCATGTCGTTCCTCGGTCTCGTCAGTCACTACAGTTCGTTTCACCCTGCCATGCATCGCCTCCGAGTCCCACTCAACCAGCTACTTATCAAAGATCACAAGTGGACAAATCCATTCTCATTTCCGATTTTCCACTCACCCACTACGATCAATTTCTGGAAATCGTTGTGGCATCAGATGCCTCGAACTATGGAATTGGCGCAGTGATTTTAAATGTATTTCCCGATAGCAGCCAGAAAGCCATTGTACACGCGGTCAGACACCTGAAATCAGCCGAGCGCGACTACAGTAACAGGAAAAGAAAGCTTTGGCGATCGTGTTTGCCGTCAAAAAGCATCATAAAATGCCCTACGAACGTCAGTTTACTCTACTGACCGATCACAAGCCATTCTTTGTTGTGTTTAGCTTGAAGAAAGGAATCTCGGCATACACTGCCAACCGCCTCTAGCGACGAACCACTCTGCTTCTGGCACGAATTCAAGATCAAGTACCAGTCCACCACCAACCTCGGACAAGCCGACGCAGTCGCGACTCACCGATTCCAGTACGCCAGAACCAGAAGACACTGTAGTCGCAACAATCGCCTTGGAACCGGAGGTGAACCGCGTACTATCTGAAGTGGTCCGCATTCTCCCAGTGACTGCCGACATGGTCCGCCAGTCTACCGATCAAGACCCAGTGCTGTAGCAAGT